ACAACAACAACAAGCCGCACAAGCTCAGCAGGTTTGTCTTCTCACTATGGCTAGTGAGATCGAGTAGTGATGAAAGAAAAGCTGGCAATTTTATTGTATAACTCATTATCGCTTAAGCGCATAGTTTAGGAATTTGTTACCAAACATCTGTCATGCATATGTAGCCATGTTTGAAGCTTATCCAAACCACTCGAGCTGAAGTAATCTGCCTTTTAGAAACGGAATCAGCTTGCTCAAGCTCAACAAGCAGTGGCACAGGCGGCTTTGAGACGAACAGCAGCTGTACGAGATGCACAGCAAAGCGCACTACAACAGCAACTACTCCAGCAGCAGCAGCGCATGCGGCAGGTGAAAAGTTTGCTAGTCTTTTCCGCTCTATTCTAAAAGTTAAAAATCTTATTTAAGGCTGCTGCAATGATGCAACAACGAAATATGCTAGGACAGAATAGCAATAGCCTAATTGCGGGTGCGTTACTTATAGTTATGTGATGGGTGTTGGGTGATATGTGTCAGAGAGTTGCGCTTGCCTTCTGATGATTTCTTTTTATGTGCATTTCTTGGTAAATCTATTCTAAATAGTAATTTGAATCTGATTTCCTTAATTCTTTTCTGTTAGACCGTGCAGTCGTAAACGCATAATCTCTCATTCGCATTATCCATTGCACATCTAAGGAAATGTCCTATCTAGGGAAAAACAAGAGCGCCCACAGTGCCAGATATTGCCATATTTTTATCTTCGCATCTCATGTTTAGACCATACATTAAGTCAAATTTTATGTGAATTAGCTCCCAAGAGCTTCATGTATGCTAAGATGAAGAGACTAGAAAAATTGAAATATCCCGTTTTATTTTCACAGCCGCTCGCCAGACTGTATTGAGGCGCATTCTAGCAGCTTGTTAGAAGCCGAAAATTACCACTATCTTGATTTTTTCTTCCCCATATCGTAATACCTGCTCCATTTTAAAAAATATATGACCAAAATCAAAATCTTGCTGATCTTATTTTTCTAGCCATGCAACAACATATTCAAAGAGCTAGTCAACAACGTGGATCTACTGCTGCCGCTACGGTTGGCTCTATAGCTGCTGCAACAGCGCTGTACCAAAAGAACCTTGCTGCAAGTCGGAACGCATTGCTTGCGAATGCATCTGCCTTACGGAAAGCACCAACGGTACGTATCTCTTAAATCATTGGAAATTTTAGATAAAACTTAGTCATTAGAAAGGCATTTAAAGATCACAAGTTTTTTGCGTTGACAGATCTTTCAGATGAATGCTGCGATGCAGAAGGCTTTTGCACTGGCCAATGGTGGTCTGTCACCAGCTGCTGCTCCAGGAGCTGCCACTTCAGCAACGGGATCACACGCTTTGGGCAATTCGACAAATGCCGGCAATGGACCAGGAATTTGTGAGATTTGCGACCAGAATATGGTCGATAGGGAGCGATATTTCCAGCATCTGCAGGTATTTTTTAAAATCTTCATCAAGAGTAGTATAGATATGATTTTTTAGCTAATTCACAAGCATCTTCGTGATAAAACGCTTGATGATGTGAAACTTGGAGCACCTCTTGCTTGCAGCAGGTGCCGCGAGAGATTCTGGACCTATGAAGGTCTTGAACGTCACCTGGTACGTTTTATCTCTTGTTTGTCTACTTTTTGCGTAATTATCATATCTGAAGGTTATGGCACATGGCCTTGTCACAGCAGATCTGTTAGCAAAAGCTCAAAATAAACTGGACGGTGGCAGATGCAAACTTTGTGCGAAGGTACATGTCTATCTTTTGCCATCTTCACCTTGGAAGTTTAACTTTTTTCCAGCAATACGCTTTCAACATGTTGCAACATCTGGTAGCGGATCATCATATTAAATTGTGCTCAGCAGAAATCATGTAAGTAATTTGTCACTCATTTTAGTCTTTCTCTTCTATTTGCTGGAGCATATACAAAGTTTTCAGGTATTCTTGTGATGTGTGCTCTTTCAAATGCAGCAGTTATACCACGCTAGAAACTCATCTGAATGCAAATCATCCAAAAGGAATCACCGACAAAAACGCTGTACATCCTCCTGCTACAGAGACTGCATCGGCCTCAAATGGTACTTCTAAGGTAATTTGCTCAATCTGATTGCACTTACAAGGGAAGGATGCGGAGTCGCAGTGGCGATCCGCTAAGAGATGTGTACCATAAGAATCTCCATCAAAAAT